AAAATTGAATAAATCTATCTATATAAATCTATATTGATCATTTTGTATGGCCTGTGAATTGATGTTATAAATATCTAAATGGCGCTTGGCAGGAACAAATGTTCCCCACCCTTGGTTGTGACTTCTTCCAGTGATAAGTAGGGAGTTTTGCACTGTTACGAAGCAAACAGCCCTTATGAGGCCCTGCCCTTTAGCCTTTCCCATACAATCTCCGTTGCTACTGCAAAAGCTTTAGCTGCTGAAGAATTAATATTATCCTTTACTAGACCCTACTGAGCATATAGACGGCTCATTTTGGGTCAATGGTGATTGCAAACTACTCCCGAGAGTCACACTCCAGGTTCATCTGGTGCGTAATCCACACTAGCAAATAGTGAAGATAATTATGACAAAAGCATTTCTGCCAATTACCCCTACACTTTGTTCCCCTAACTTGATGATGCCCTGAAAATTTTATGTCCTCTCTGAGCTTTCAGATAACTAAGTGGTCATGTTAGAAGACTGGATCAAGGGCTTTTCAGACACAGACCTTGGGAACTAACAGGGAAGAGTCTAGCTGGCTGGAAGCATCATTATTGGACGCAAGTGAATCTGGATCTCATTTTAGACAATTACAGTGGCAAAAAATCCAACACTGAATTTCAGTGTGTTTTAGGGAAGATGGAATGGTGATCACCATGTGCCGCTAAGGTAATCTGATCAGGATGCCAATGCAAATGTCAGCCTCACATTGATTAACAAGCGATTGTGCCCTTTTATCCATTCAATAAATATTTATTGAATGTCTACTAAATGTGCCCTGGACATTGAGTTTATTATGGTGACCAAAATTGACATGATCTTCGGAGAAGCTATGCACAAATATATATTCAATTATAGGCTGGGATAGGTGTTACCAAGGAGGAGGGTGCCATTTAAGATAATAATATAGCAACAATAATGTTGATTGAGGCTATGGGGTCATGGAAGGCCTCTTTGAAATTACATCTGCCTTCACAATAGTCCATCTTCGTCGTAATGGGAGCCCTCATCAGATGTGTGTAATGATTGTTAAGCACACTGAATTAATGTAAATAGAAGTAAAGTTTAAAAAAATTCACATCTGAAATAGTTGAGTTAGTGTTTTGGAAAATGTCCATTTTGCTCTTTATGTTTTTAAATTTTGGTCATTGATGGATACTTTTTGGAATCTTTGCTAACAAGCAAGGGCCTCGGGCAGCCATGTTTGCATTAGAATACAAAGACTTGAGGGCACAAGCATCTCATATGGGATAAGTTCTAGTTCCAGCTGCTTTACTTCCCATCCAGCTCCCTGCTAATGGCCTGAGAAAGCAACAGAAGACGGTCCAAGGTCTTGGGCCGTGTATTCATGTAGGCGAAGCTTCTGCCTTCCAGCTTTGGACTAGTCCAGTTCTGGACAGCCATCTGGAGAGTGAACCAGCAGAAAGAGGATCTTCATCCCTCTTCCTTTAACTCTCTAAACTGAAAAAAAAAAGAAAGACTTGACTCCAGAATACTCTATTGATCAGAGGAAGATGAACCAAGAGTAGACAACCTGGCAATCAGATCATCAGGGATAACTGGGATTCATGATACTAGTTGATCTCTGGTGTGATGTAAGGCTAAGTAAGCTTGAACCAAGTTCCTAGAGAAGCAGCAAAACCAATTCTGTAGAAAAGGATGATGTAGTTTTATAGAGAAATACAAAGATGAAAGGACAGCGACACAGAGAAAAAAACACTGCAGGAACAGCTACTTGTTTTCTTGTTGGTATTTAGTCCTTGTTTCAGTCCTTCAGAGATCTTGTTGCACTTGGTGTCCTTGGTGCTGATAAACACATGCATGTGTGTATGCATATATACAAATATATACTCAAAGGTATATAAACATCTCTAAAAAGATTTATTTTTATTGGAAAGACAGATCAGATTTACAAAGATTAAGAGAGAAAGATCTTCCATCCACTGGTTCACTGCCTAAACACCTGCAATGGCCAAAGCTGATTAGAAGCCAGGAGCCTCTTCATGTCTCCCACATGGGCCCAAGGCTTTGGGCCGTCCTCTACTGTTTTTCCAGGCCACAGACAGGGAGCTGAAACAGAAATGGAGCAGCTATGATGTGGGATGTGAATTGGTGCTGAATTGGGATTCTGGTACTTGGAAATTGAGGATTCAGTCATATCATGCTGGGCCCTTTATTTTATTCCATCTGTTTTTAAAAAATTTATTTTGGCCCCGGCGCCATGGATAGTAACTAAAGTCCTTGCTTTGAACATGCCAGGATCCCATATGGGCGCTGGTTCTAATCCCAGCAGCTCCACTTCCCATACAGCTCCCTGCTTGTGGCCTGGGAAAGCAGTCGAGGACGGCCCAAAGCTTTGGGACCCTGCACCAATGTGGGAGACCTGGAGGAAGTTCCTGGCTCCTGGCTTCGGATCGATGCAGTACTAGCTATTGTTGTCACTGTGGAGTGAGTCATCAGACAAAAGATCTTCCTTTCTGTCTCTCCTCTTCTCTGTATATCTGATTTTGCAATAAAAATAAATAAATCTTTTCAAAAAATTTATTTTTATTGGAAAGGCAGATCAGATTTATGGAAAGATTACAAATGTATATTTTAATGAATTTTTAATTTTACTAACTATTCAGTAAGTATTCATGGAATAGCTGGCAGACAAGCAGCTTGTAAAATAATACACCAGTTTCTGTACATTCTTCTTGTTTTAGGGTTTTTTTTCCATAAGTAAAATAAATTCACTAAGATTGCAATGGTAAAAGAGCCCCACTTAATTTTTTTTTTAAGATTTATTTATTTTTATTGGAAAGTTAGATAAACAGAGAGGAGGAGAGATAGTGAGAAAGATCTTCCGTCTGATGATTCACTACCCAAGTACTGCAACAGCCGGTGCTGTGCTGATCTGAAGCCAGGAGCCAGGAACTTCTTCCAGGTCTCCCACAGGGGTGCAGGGTCCCAAGGCTTTGGGCTGTCCTTGACTGCTTTCCCAGGCCACAAGCAGGGAGCTGGATGGGAAGTGGAGCTGCTGGGACCAGAACCGGCAACCAAATGGGATCCCGGGCGTGCTAGGCAAGGACTTTAGCCACTGGGCCACTGCGTCGGGCCCAAATCTTAAACATACAGAGAGTAAACTTCTCACGTATACAGCAGTTTTTATCTGCTTCCAGGTAAGATTTAAGGGTAGTAGGAATGCAATGAGTGAGGTGCGCTGTACAGCCTCATCTACTCAGGACTTGAAAGGTTTATTCACAAACATTGAAACAATCTGATGTTTAAATCAGCACTATTTTGGCTTTCAGTGGCTTCATTTTTGCGGTCATCTCCACTACTAACAGCTTGTTCATACAAGACACTACGTTATACGCGAGCCTTGCTCTTCAGCAGTATGAAATCTGAATACCCAAGGAATAATGCATTGCGATCTTTGTAGGAAGAGATGAAACCACCACATCTGGTAATAAAATGAAGGGACATAAGGCCCACATTCCTGGCGAGTGGGGAGGGTGCATGGTGACTACTCCTAGGCAGGGAACTAGCAGGTCGCCCCTGGAGGCCTCAGGGGATGACTGGTCACCCCTCCTAAGGGGGCTGGTGGAAATTTCCTCCGTGTTGTCAACGATAAGGATTCCTTGCGCCTCAAACCTCTTCACATCACTTTCCATCATCGACACGACCATAGCTAAGGTCTTCCCACTTCAAAACCCCAAGTCTCTGCTGTGTTGGAGGCACTCCCATGGCTTCTCGGCCTTTCGGCTAGGATCAAGTACAGAGGCTCTCCCAGCCCGGGCGCAGGGAGTGGGCTGTGCCCCTAGGTAAGGGGTACGGAGAGGGAAGATTTTAACCAGCCGTCCCCTCCCCAGCCCTACCCCTGCTGGGATCCATTTCCCTAAGTTCGCTGCCGGCCATGAGGCGAGCAGCGTTCTGCCAGGAATTGGCAAGATGGTTGGGTGCGGTGGGTGGGTGGGGTGGCACCAGGAGGAAAGGCAGAGTCGCGAGGGGCGTGCTACTCGGGGAAAGACAAGCTCCCAGGTATCATCCGAGGTGGCTTTGCAGACTTCGCTGGAAGCCAAAGCCCCCCAGCTGCAGGCCACTTCCGGGTTTGGAAGCGCTCCCCGTAAGCCCCACCCCACACCCGGCTTGGCAGTCTCAGGGCGCATGCGCCGTCGCTCTGGGACGGGCCCAACTCACCCTAAACAACTAGTGCGCTCCTCCCCCCGCTCCCGCTTGGGGCGTACCATTCGCTTACAGGGTGGGGGAAGGCACTGCGGCCCAGGGTACTCAGAAATCTGTTCCCTTTCTCTTAAACGGGGAAGGTAAGTTTGCGACAGGTTTTTCAGAGTTCTAAGAATACGAAAGGCTCCAGGGCCGGCCGCCGCGTGCTAACCCGCCGCTGACGGCCTGGCCCTCGGCCCCGCGCTCTGCCTTCGGAGGCTCCGAACAAAGTGGCACGCCCGGATCCCAGCTGATCAGCTGCTGGGCTTTGGCGGCGGCTCCCCCGGGCGAGACCATTGTGACTCCTCGGGAGGGGCGCACGCAGAGGGGAGGGGGCGGAGCGGCCATTGTCCGGTCAGCGCCACGTCCGGGGGAGGGGGAGCGTGTCCTCGCAGTCAGCGGGCCCCGGGGCTTTCACCGCGGCCGCAGCGACTCCAGAGCCGGCGGGGGCCTCTGGTCCTTCGCCCGCGCCGCCGCACGGGACATCGCTCTGGCTGGGGAGCGGCGGTGGGAGCTGCCCAGGGGCACCGGGTCTCCCTCCTCCCCTGCGGGCCTCGCTTCACCCGCACGCCCCTCCTCCTCCACGCTCCCTATTCCCACCCCCCCCGTCTCCGCAGGCCGAGTGGTGCGGCCCGCCTCCAGCTGACCGGCCTGGAATCCCGGCTCGGAGCCCCGGACTCGCGCCCGCCCGCGCGCCCGCTCCCTCCCCCTCCCCCTGCCCCGAGCCCCCCGCCGCCGCCGCCGCCGCCGCCGCCTCCTCCGAGCGGGGCCCAGGCCCAGCCGCCGCCACCGCCGCCGCCGCCGAGCTCCGCCGCCGCCGGGCACCATGGGAGACGCCGGGAGCGAACGCAGCAAAGCGCCCAGCCTGCCGCCGCGCTGTCCCTGCGGCTTCTGGGGGTGAGTGCCGGCCGGGTGGGGGCGGGGGGTCGGGGGCGGCCGCGGGCGCCGGGCTGCCGGGGCGGGCAGCGGAGGCCCTCGGAGGCCGCAACCCTTGGGAGCTGGGCCCAGGCCGGGCCTACTGGGAGGGGGCAGGGGCAGCGTCCCGGGAAGGACTGCCGGGTGCGGGGAGCTGCGGTGGGCAGGGGAGGCCCCGTCCCCCGGGTGGCCTCCCACCCTCTGGGACCGGTTAGCTTGGGGTTTGGGGGCGGATAGGGGCCGCTCGGGCCACGGCTGAGGGGGGGCAGGGCAGCCGGGAAGGGGCTGAGGGGGCGGCGTTGGCACCTCCCGGTGGGGCTTGGGGTGCCCCCTTTCCTTTGGCGAGGAGGCGGCCACCTTCTGTGTCCCCTTGTGCCAGTGGGTGCCCAGGCACCTGGAGGGTATTTCCTCTGACTTTTTCACCTTTCCCCCCCTCCCTGTCCCTCGGAGACTTGCATCATCACTTCCTAAATTATATCCCAGGGCCCCATGTGCTGTGAGGAAGCTGTTCACAGGAAGCCCATTTGTAAAAATCGGGTCCAGAACCCTGGGCTGAGGTAAACCTCTAAGACCATGCACGTTCCTAACGTTCTTTGAAAACGCATTTGAGGAGAGCTGTAAGGATTATTGCTTGTCAGAAAATCTCAACGAAACCCCAAGTCAGCCTGGCTGGGGGAAATGTGAAAACCAGTTGCCTTAATTGACTGCCAAATTGCCAAATTCTCCCCCTCCTCTCGAGCCAAAAGATAACCAGGTGATTACAGCTCACCCTGTAGGTTACTTGGTTACCCTTACTTGTGTAAGGGTGAAAAAATAGGAGGTGGAAAAATCACAATGGTGCTCAGGTCCAGATGGAATTCTGCAGCACCTAACAGGTGTCTATGGTACCACATGATTATACTTCCCTGGTAGGGAAACCGGAGGCATTCAAGGTCTACTGTTGCATTTTTTTATTTTTAAAGATTCATTACTTTTGAAACTGTATAGAGGAGGCAGTAAAGAAATGATGATGAGGATATCCTGCAAAGAAGTACTAAAGTGTTTTATCACTCATACCCTGGAAGTGGTTAAGGTGATTTAGGTCTGCAGAGGAGATTAGAAAGTGGCTCTGAGAGCACATGTCTTTCAGTTTAGTCAGATGCCAAAGTTGTAAGCAAGAAGTGGCTTTTCCTTTTCTCATCTTTCTACCTAGGGGGAGGATATTACTCAAAAATACCAAAAGCATGTCAGAAGTTCTGAATGTGTGGAAATGTTTTAGGTTTGTAGTCTTTCCCTTTATTTTGACTTGAAAATGATAGGGTTGTCTGCCAAATGTTTTCCTGGATAGTAATTCCCACAAGAACCTTGTGAGGTAGGAATCTTTATCCCTTTGTTACTCGATAGGGAAACTGAGGCTTCAAGGTGAATTAACTGGCACCTTCCTCAGTGTAGGGTGGGGCTGGTGGGTCTTGAGTATACTTAGTGCCATCATATTTGTGACGTCGGTCTGGTGCCGGGGAGCCATCTGGTGTCACAGGCCATAGATTATATATACTCTGTGAGACGTGGGCCTCAAAGTAGCTGCCAGGGACAGCTCATGGGGATGGGTCGGAGGTCTGTTTCCTGGCGGCACATCTGTGTTCTCAGGACCTTTATCAGGAATCCTTGTTGAAAGTCTTCATCGAAAGTTAGGAAAAAAAAGGTTAGAACCCAGAGAGGATGGACTGACTTTCCAACTTCAGCCAGTGTGGTTCTAAAACAGAGTTTGGTAGTAGCAGGCAGGAAGAGTTACACTGATGTTATACTTGACCAACGTCAGCCAGAACTTGTATGTTCAGTTTGGCAGTTTTGTAAGTTGAAAATTGCCCAAGAGGAGTAGTGAGTAGGAAACTACTAATTTTCTAGTGCAAAGTGTTTTTAACCTTGTTAGGGTACTGGTAGTTTGTTTTGTGCCAGAAGTAAATGAAATTGATGCCTAGTGTCCACCGCACCATAACTGATTTTAAACATGTCACGTGACCCATATTCATATTATGTTTATTAAGTAAGCCTAGAATATAACCAACAAATATTTGAGTGGTTTGATTAACAAATATTTGCTATAATGTTGGGTGAGAGCATCCTGGCTTCATCCTCTGGGATGTACAGTTCGTGGTTGTCAGGGATTGTGCACCTGGACAGGGAGAGGGAGCAGAACCCCGCTGGCAGGAAGGGGCGAAGGAGGGCAGTGGGCGTGAGGAGTGCTGCTGTCAGGCGCAGGGACTAGCAGGGTTGGAGACTAGGATATGGAAGTAACCCTTCCCCATTGGTAGGAGAGGAAGTTCACTGGCTCTCTTGGTGGATTGCGAATGGAGATCAGCTGAAGGGGAGGCTGGGAGGGAAAAGGGGGTGGTGATAACTTGGCTCCCTGAGCCTGTTCAGGACTTTGAACTTTTATCCTGCTTGCACTGGCATACTAGTGCAGACCTTGGAGCAGGGATTGTCGTGATTTTCTGCAATGGTAATGGAGATGGCTGGTTGATCTTGAGAGTGTGTAAGCCTGTGAGGATGGCTGTGCGCAGCGGTGTGGACGTGGGCTATCTGTGTTTATGGTGCCACATCTAGAGATCCAAGAGCCCTGTCAGGATGATCTGAGGTGAGGGTGGGGGAGAATGGAGAGGAGGGGATTGATGTGAAAGCCACTCAGGGAGACATCTTTTGTCTTCATGAACATGAAGGTATAGTCTTCAAAAACACTTTGTACAACACCTCATACTGTTTGGAAGTCACAGCGTTTTAAGTTAGCTAGCCAGGGCCCACCCCCAGCCCTTTGTGGAGGAGCCTCAGCAGAATGCTGTGAGCCCAGCAGACGGAAGGCAGTTCCTTTAGGGTCACTTTAGCAGTGACTCCGGCTGCAGGACCTGCGCCCATTCAGCGCGGCACAGAGCCCAGAGCTCTGAGGTCTTTTTCTTTGTGGAGATGCAATTGGAAAGGAGAATGACAAGAGCACTCTACCAGTGTGCTGCTGCTGAGGATACCTACTTGCCAGTTCTCTCTGTTTGCAGTGCTGTTGCCCACAGGGAATTAAGTTATCTGGTGGACAGACCACTTCACTGGAAAACTGGTGCCTGGGAAACTGTTGAAAGGGTCGAGCTATTTATAAGAAGTGGGAAGTTGTTCAACAGCATATGTAGTGTTTTTAGAATTACAACTATTTTATCCCCAAGATATGACTTAAAACTTTTAGTGAAATATGAGCATTTTCCAAGATCATTTAGGCGCTCAGTAACCAGGAAAAAATGGATTGTCATCTGAAATGAGGTGGTGTATTTCTTTAGCTGAAATATGTACTTCATGAAAACACTTCTAAGCTACACAGACAAGGGTGATGTTAGTTGAAGCTGTATTTAAAATGATTTAGATATTTGAAATGCACTGAGTGATTCGATTCTTCACAAAGTTTCAAAAGTTGTCTAAAGAGCAGACTCAGAATACTACAGAAAAACACAAGAATAAGAAAATAAAAATGTACTGTACATCATGGAGAGAATAATGAGGATGGAAGATGGAAGCATTTTTTCCCCTGCTACTAATCAAGGGTAAAAATTCAATTGGTATTATTGATATTTTTTCTTTCACAATTGGAAACCATCTGTTGCAATGAAATATTCTGAAAACCTGAGGAAGTACTATTTCTTAAATAAGTTTAGTGGATAGTAGAAATAAATGTTCAGTTTTGTAGTCAGGGAATAACAATGCTTGGATTTTCAAAAAACTTTCATTGTATTTGAAAGGCAGAGAGAGACCAACAGATAGATACAGATCTTGTACCCATGGGTCCACTCGGCAAGGGCCTGCAGCAGCTGGGACTGGGCCAGGCTGCAGCCTGGGGCCGGAGGTTCATTCCAGGTCTCCTTAGTGTGTGTAACACGGAACTAGGTACTTGAGTGGTCCAGCTGCTGCATTCCAGGAGTTGGAAGTAGGGCTAGGTTTCAAACCTAAGTACTCTGATAGGAGGAATCAGTGTCCCAAGTCCCAAGTGTTTTTTTTTTTTTTTTTTTACTGTTGCACCAAATGTCCAACCCTAAAAATGCTAAAAATTGGGATTTTCATAGGTAAACTTTTGTTTACTGTTTTGGTTATTAAAAAAATTAGTTCTTTGGGTGCTGCTGTTGCTTGTGTCACTGGCGCCCCACGTCAGTGCTGATTCTAGTGTTGGCTGCTGTGTGTCTGCTGACAGCTTCCTGGTCATGAGCCTGGGAAATAGATGACGGCCCCTGCTGCTCATGTGCTAGACCCAGATAGAGATGCTGGCTTCCGCCCGACTCAGATCTAACTGTTGTGGCATTTGAGGAGTGAGCCAGTGGATGGAAGATCTCTTTCTCTGTCTGTACTTTCAAATAAATAAAATCATTTTAAAGCTCTTTTGTTATAGCAAATTGTGCCATAAAACAAATATTACATGGGCATATTTTCTTTAGGGAGATAGATTGTAATGGTGTTTTGCTTTTGTCATTAATTCTGTTGAAGCATTTTTCCCCTACAAACTAGATTTGGTTGGTAATAAGTGTGCTTTAAGAAAAAGTAGAGATTGGTGAAGAAGTAATCTCTCAAAATAGATTCCATTCCTGAAATGAAAATTTATTGAAAACGTAATTCATTTTGTTCTTTATTTTTTGGTCATTATAACCTGCTCAACTAGTTCAGCTGAAATGGAGTCAGTGTGTAATTTTTTCTCTGACCCTGAGCTTTGAGTTGAAGTAGAGCTTCATCTCCTTCTCTGTGACCGCATGGGTGATTTGGCAGGTATGCTTGGCTCCTAGCAATGTGCAACTCTCGTACTCCTTTGTGCGTTTTAGACACCCAGTTGGAACATGTTGCCACACTTCAGCTTAACCTGGGCTTTTATGTTAGATGAACACAGCATGAATCATTAATCAGCAAAATGCTTATGCCAGTGCTGTTGCTGAGTATCCCTTAGTCATAACATTTCTTTGGGGAGCAGGCATTGTGGCTCAGTGGCT